AAACGTTAACAATAGTACTGATACAGATACAACGTTAACAATAGTACTGATACAGATAAAACGTTAACAATAGTACTGATACAGATAAAACGTTAACAATAGTACTGATACAGATAAAACGTTAACAATTTGTTAACGTTTTATCTGTATCAGTACTATTGTTAACGTTTTATCTGTATCAGTACTATTGTTAACGTTTTATCTGTATCAGTACTATTGTTAACGTTTTAGCTGTAGCAGTACTATTGTTAACGTTTTATCTGTATCAGTACTATTGTTAACGTTGTACTTGTATCAGTACTATTGTTAACGTTGTATCTGTATCAGTATTGTTGTTAACGTTTTATCTGTATCAGTACTATTGTTAACGTTTTATCTGTATCGGTACTATTGTTAACGTTTTGTCTGTATCAGTACTCAGTACTGATACAGATAAAACGTTAACAACAGTACTGATACAGACAAAACGTTAACAACAGTACTGATACAGATAAAACGTTAACAATAGTACTGATACAGATAAAACGTTAACAACAGTACTGATACAGATAAAACGTTAACAATAGTACTGACACAGATAAAACGTTAACAATAGTACTGATACAGATACAACGTTAACAATAGTACTGATACAGATAAAACGTTAACAACAGTACTGATACAGATAAAACGTTAACAATAGTACTGATACAGATAAAACGTTAACAATAGTACTGATACAGACAAAACGTTAACAACAGTACTGATACAGATAAGACGTTAACAATAATAAATTCACTACAACTGAAGAAAATATTCGCTTTACTTTCAGACGTTTCAAAGAAATCACGATAAGCTCGAACAAAGAATGTAAAAGAAGAAAATAATTCTAGGTTTTTCAACTATAAAGATAACCCTAACTGTTTGTACCCCAATGCGTCAGTTTACCGACTTACAACTCTTAAACCCGATGTTCTATTTCCCGCGGTGGGCAGAGCGCAAGCAGCCCATTTTTATTTTTTGAAAAGAAACAAACAGTCCCTAATTATTTTCACCCCAGCTGGGTCAGCATTACATTTTCTTGTTTACAGCGCTAGAATATGGGGTTCGATTCCTCGTGACGGACAGAGTGCAGGTACCCTATTCTGTAGCTTTTGGTACTAAAAATATGGAAACATTCCAATCTCAAATACGTTTTTCAAGATTATAATTAGGGAAAAACAGTGCTGGTCGTGTGGGTTGGCCCTGTGCAGCGAAAGGTTGTCTACACGGGTTCGAATCTTTACGATAACACTAAATATTATCCGCACTTTAAGCTGTGGGTGCATTATAAAAGTGACAGTTGACCATTTAATGTATATGGTTGGTGGTGTAGGGGTGCTATCGACTGGTTGTCTTCTCTCTGGCCGTTAGCTTTCCCATTATACATTTATTTCTATTTTTCATTCGTTTAAAAATGGTAGTTAGGGGTCTCTCAATTCGCAATCTGCGGATTGCGAGTTCGAATCCCGTCACCAAACATGCTCATCCTTTCAGCCGTGGTGGGGGCGTTATAAAATGATGGTGAATCCCAATATTCGTTGGTAAAAAATTATCCCAAGAGTTGGCGGTGAGTGGTGTTAATTAACTGTCCTTCCTTTAGCCTATCACTGCTAAATTAGGGACGGCTAGCGCAGGTAACTCTCGAGTATCGACGTTTCGGAAACAGTCGGTTCAAATTAAAGTGGCACAGCGATACGTCTGCAGACTTACAACGCTAGCAACCGGGTTTCGATACCCGGGTGGGCAGAGCACAGATATCCCTTTGTGCTTAACTTCAACGAAACAAAAAGAGCATGTTTTTTTCTCTGTGTGGAATTTGGACTTTTTTTGGGGGGGGGGGCAGTGGATAAAGTGAACAATGAAAAGAGTGTATATTCAGTTTCTGAATTTAAATATAAAGACAGGGTTAATAATTCTAAATTGCGTATTAAGTTAATAAAATAAAACCCTTAATCTTTATTGCGCATATCGTGAATCAAACACCCACCTATCTCTATATCCATGTATATAAGCAGCCTGTAAAAGTATCCAAGAATACATACGGTTCGTGACGATAAGGAGTGAACAAAGACCTTTCATAGACAAGGGCAGAGAGAGAGAGAGCGCCATCTATGCTGAGTTATACAAAGAACGTCATAATCTATGTCAACAACACCGTTTTGGAAACTAAGACACTTTGAAGGACACTTTATTTAACACCGTTGGTCTGGAAGAATACATGATTTAAACAGCGAGACGTATTATATGAAATAATGCACACAGCGTCACCTAGTATTAGCCATATACACACAGAGCTTACGTGATATATTATACTGTTTATATTCAAAGGAGGACGGAAACGACAGATTATAAACTGAGAGTGTTGATTATGAAACTTGAACTTAAATCTTTAGTTAGAGTCTTTGTAGAGTTTTAATGAAAAAATAAAATACGGGCAGATGAGCAGCTCTCGAGTTGACAAAAAAAAAGGAGGGGGTAACAAAGGAGAATTTCTGAAATCTACTCATAGGCTCATCGGGCATTTGACAGTCAGAATTTCAGTTTTTGTTTTACCTCTATACACAAGGGGGGAACCACCCCCCCGGTTCACCTCGATTTAAGGGGTGACGATATAGAAGAAACAAGGTGAACGCCACCTAGGATTTAGATTTTACTACAGACCGTAATTTCCCCCGAAAGGTGGACGAAGACTACCTGGAGGGGTCCCCTGTTTTAACCACTCGCACCACAA